CCCCCCCCCCCAATTATCGCATCTAGCTACAGCCCTGTTGATATAAAATACACACTAATACATTTGCACATTAGTTAAATTACTTTTTAAAGCATGATAAGATTCATAACATTCACCACTTAAGATGGATGGTGTCTCCAGAACCAACAGAGTAGAATGAGAGTGACCTGAGATCATCATCCAGTTTAACTTCATGATCATTTTGATCAACATATGACAAAAATTGGCTTGACGGCAAGACTTTAAATACTCTTTGCAAAAGTCCTTTTAGTTTTGAGATGGTCATCGTAGCTGGAAGCTTCTTTGTGATAGATTGTCTGTCCATGTCATTTACACATTTAATTGTAACAACAATCAGACTACTCTTGAGTGTGTTAGCATTGCCAGACGACATACCAAGACCATCTGGAACACCATGAGCTTCAAGCAATGACACATATCTTGGATGTTTTATCATGAAATTGGAATCAATTTCAGATTGTGAAGTGCCAGTATTACCACCTGATTTAAGCCATTCTTGACCATATTTCTTGAGGTAAGCTCTCTCAGCAGCTTTTCTCTCTTTTACAGTGACAGAACTCCCATTCAATGTGCTGCATCTGGCAACCCTTGCTATCAGCTCCTGTCTTGCATCATACTGGCTTACATCACTCACCAAAGGACAACACTTCAGAGATAGTACTTCTAATGCTTGAAGTCTGTTCAACTGATCAACACTGCTCCAGCTTGATATCATAGCATTCATCAAACCCAAGGATTTCAGCCTCGGAAATATATCAGTAAGTTCGATGATATCACCAGGTAATGAAACATTGCCCAATGGATTTTCACTCAGGACTAGCATTTCTAAACATGGTAACGCATGTAACAAAAACACATCATCCCAGTTGGACAGGTTATTTCCTTCCAAATTGAGCTTGCACAGACAATTCAAATTATTAATGTCTCCTGATTTTATGCTGTTTATGTTGTTAAAGCTAGCATGCAACTCCTGCAGGCCACTAAATGTGGATGACAATGTAAGAACTTGTTGCCAATTTAAACGCATATAATTGACAACTAAAGTTTTCAGCGGCAAAGTTTGTAATTTGTTTCTTTCCAGATTAAAACTGCTAGCGTTCAGATGCAGTCCACTGACATCCAGCTCAGAAAGACAAGGTAGTTCATTCACAATCTTGACTACCTCTTGCCAGTCAGATAATAGTGTATTTGATAAATCTAACTCCACAACATTAGGTGCAACTAAACCAAGAGACTTTCCATCCCCAGGCCCACGAGAAACATTTGCCCCACGCAAACTTACACGTTCAAGTCGTTTAACCTTTTCTTCAAAAGCACCACTTTCATTCTTACTAACATGATATACACAGTCGAACTCAGAAAACTGTTCTTTACTGTGTAGTTCACTGAATTTACTTACTAAAGCTGTAACAACATCAACACCAAAGTCAAGTTTCTTTGCACGAACAAAACTGCCATTTCCAGGGCGAGAACAAGTGAAGTATTTCACTCCTTCATGTTCTCCACTGTGCTTACCTCTGCCGTCCACGTCCCACTCAACACCATACCATAAACCATTCGATGGTGGTACTTCGCCAAAGTACTTTATTGTGCCGTATTCTCCATCACAAACTACTCTTGTTCCTTCCATTTTGCCACTACAGTCCGCCATGTTTCGAATTAATATTTGATTACGTCATTAGATTGCGTAGCTCTGAGCGCAGTTTTAACTGGAGTGAGATTTTCCACTCCTCAGACCAGCGTTTCCATTTGGAAGGAAATTTCCTTCCTTTGGAAGGAAATTTGGAAGGAAAGAGCATTTGGAAGGAAATTGGGAGGAAACTCTCTCCTCCGCAGAGGATTAGGATTTAATATTACGATGAGATACTTACATTTCACTACACTTTACATGGCGGATCTTGGAACACGAGCGTAGCTG